AATGATGAAGCGGAGGAGAGATATTTGCGAATTATTTGATTTATTAATTCTTATAAAATTTCAAAAAAATAATAATAAATTAAATGTTTAAAATGTAAAATAATTATTTTTCTTAAAGTTTAATTTAAAACACTTGTATAAATGAAGATATTATCAACGATTTAAAAAAAAAAAAGCAAAACGTGTTTCGTCAGCAGAAATTCTTAAACAAAAGGTTAAACAATAAATTAATTTGTTAATTGTTACGTTACAAATAATTAATTAGCAACTAAAAACTTTTAAGAAACTGTAAATTGCTTATAATTGAAAATGAAAGTCCCTGATGAGATAAAGAGCAGAAGTTTTTATGAACCTTCTAAAACGGTAAATTATATTGATTAAAGTTATTATTAATTAAATTATTCTGCTTAAACTAAATTATAAGTCTTGCTGCCATCACTTGTTACGGGATTTTACACGTCTTTTTTTTAAAACAATTTTACGTTGTTTTATATGAAAATTTAGTATAGAGATAAATAGATATCACGTTTATGAAGCGTTGGAAAGAGTAAGGTGGGAAGTCAAAGATTTTACTTATTGCCAGGATTTTTGCAACAAATTCCCTTATAAGTAAATATTTTTAATTGAAATAAATATATAGATTTTTAATATATTTTCTGAAATATTTGTTTCTATAATTATCAGCGAATTTGTTTTTAAAAAAATGTCGGGGAAAAAAGTAATTCGATTTGATGAAAGAAAAGAAAATTTCTTGCGAGAAACATTAAAAATCAAAAAATAAGATTTCAGTATTATTTCTACTTTTAGTTTTTGAGGAAAACAACATATTGTAAAATAGTTTACGCGTTAAGTGTTATCAAATATAAATCTGCTTTAAAACTTCGAGGGATCTGAAAGGAAAAAAACTAGGAAAGAGCAGAATCGACAATTAAAAAATCTTCTGTTCAACTGGTTTAAGCGATTTTTTATAATAAATTATTATTATTAATATTTTTCTAAATATCAAAAACATTTTTTTTATGATTCAGCCACAGATTTTATAAATAGTATTTTTATATTTTAAACGTTTTTATTTAAGAAAAAAAAAACTTAAAAAATTTAAATATTATTGTTTAATTTTAGAAAAGATTGTATAAGTTATAGGCCTAATAATTTTGGGAAGAAAAAAAAAATGAAAGTAAAATTTCAAATGATAAATTTGAAGGCTTGAAAATCGAACAGGTGAATGAATTCTTGCTTATAGAGAATATGTTTGAGAAAAATGATAAAATTGATGGCGAAATTGCCCTTTGAGTAAATACAAAGTTTGACTGGTGCAGTTGGAAGATTTACAAGAAATGATGTTGCCTATTTTCTAAACGTAGCAGGACGACTGTTCACAACAGAGCGATACTTCCTTTTATGATATATGATCTATGGAAGTGAGTGCTAGACATACATAACAAGAGCAGATATAGGAATCGCATGATTGTTGCAAAGATGTATTATCTAAGGAGAATACCTTAAGATATCACGATATAGTATCGTAAAAAATGGTAAAAATCCTGTTGGAAATATGAAACTATATATCTACATAGAATCCTTTATGCTTTTCTGTGTTAATATCCGTTGACACGGAATGCTATAAATTAAATTCGAAGAAAATTTATATTAAAGTTAAGGCTATCGATTACTATTTAATCTATGGCTACTATTTTTCTATATATCTCGTATATAACGATTTATTGTTTTATATATATAAGAGGTGTTGTCAAAAAAGCAATAACGTGTTTAAAATTTTATAATTTCTGATTGATCAACATCGGTTATGAGATGAATAATGCATTTATAATATGACTGTTATCTTTAAGCAGTTCACAATGGTCCTCGTCGTCTAGTACAAGATTTTGTTGAAACTATCGATAGATCTTTCAAGCCTCCTTACGAAAAAAATTATTCAGTTACTCGAGTGGATTATCAAGAGCCAGATGTTGTCAAGTTTTCTAAAAAGCCTTCACCAATTTCTTTGTCGAATATGTTAACTGAATATATATTAAACATAATATAAACTACTCTATGTAATAAATATTTATCGATAAATAGAAACTTCACTTAAATCTACTTAAAATGATTGATTTTATTCATACTTATTTAGTTTCTGCCGTTTATAAGGAGCTGCCAAACTTCAAGCAACCTTTATAAACACATTGCCAAATTTTTGCTGTATTCTCCATGGAGAGGAGAATACAGCAAAAATTTTAATTTTGATCCAAGAGCTAACTACATATATAAACAATTTTGTAAATAACTGATTTAAAATTTTAACTTTTTATTTATTTATATATATATAAAAAAAACCTTTTTGTTGCGATGAAAGAATAATTAATCATTAACAATAAAGTATCGTTATTCAGTAGAGAAAGTTTCTTTATCATATATACTCTACTCTCGAAAATTTATCTGTGGGATTAAAACATGCAAAGACTGTAATTAATCATGAAGTAAATACATGCATATACGCGAGAGCGTATCTTAGAAAGACCCGAATGTTATACATACTTAATAACGGCATTTCTCAGAAGTGCGGTTCTTTACTGTATACGTCATCACAATCCCGGAAGTGACGTCGACAAAATGCATGGAGAGAAAAGCGAATGGAGAGGACATCAGTTGGTAATGGAAAGAGTAAGCCATCGTATATGCATGGATGCTTCAGTGAAGAAGACGAAAGATCGTTATTTCCCAGTCAACATTTCTATAATATTTTTCGTCGTTATGCTGGCAGATGATATTCGTTTTATGCGACTCCCAGTTTACAAATGATGAAGATGACGTCTCTTTTCACCAAAGGCAATATTTCCTACTTTTGTCAACAAATATGTACGCCTTTTGATAAANTAATCAGTTTTTTTTTTACGATGCTGTAGCTTAAGGTTTGGAACACAACTTAAAAATTTTATCAATATGATTTGGATGTTGTCATTTATGAGTTGAAAGTTAAAAGTTTTAAAATTTTCGTAAAAACTTTAATAATTAATAATTTTAGATTTATTTCCATATTTAACATTTTCAAATTAAGCAAAGTTTAAACTAATGAAAACTAAACATTAGAAGGTACCATTTATATAAGTTAAGAATCATTACAATAAAGTAATATGTTTAAATATTGAGAATAAAAAAAAAATTCAATTCAATTATGATTTCTTTAAATTTTTAAGCATTTTTGGAATCTCTTACTGTTAGAAAATACAGTACATTGTTTTTATTTACTAAATCATAAATAATAAAACTAGATATTTATCTTAAAGAAAAAAATTCATTGTTATTTAACACTGGTTTCTGTTAAATTTTATTATTTCTATGATTTTAAACTTTTTTCTGTCTCTGCACATAATGTATACCAATGTTCACAAATCTTTCTACTGATAATCTGTTTTTTAGACAAAAATGTATACGAATGCAATTAGGATTTCTTAAAATATATATGTAGTGTCCATTGTTTTATGAATAAAGAAGGAAAAAGATTAACATATTTTTAATTAAAATTTTGTCTTATTTTAAATTTAACTTTTTTTGTTTTAATTCAGTGAGCTCTAAAACCTCTTCTCTAAAACTTTTCTGCATACCTATCATAGGTTCAGCCTTATCCACAATTGGGACAACCAAATGTTGAAGGATAGGGCTCAACTTATTTCTGAAAATTTTTGAGCCAACTAAACTCAAACCTTATATCCAGATAGACAAACTGGTATCTTTACTGCTTTGGTCATCCAGCCACATCATGCACATCTCTCTGTATGTACTTAAATTGTAATAGACCATAAAATGCAATTTATAAACCCTCTGTTTTATTAGTATTTGGTTACCAGAGTTTTAAAACTTCAAATTTAAACATTTTAAATAACTCAAACAATTAGAATAAGTTTAAGTCGGGAAAGTAATAAGAAAAAAATTTAATAAAATGTTTAGTAAAATAAATGTTTAATAAAATTTAATAAAATAATGTTTGATATAATGTATCAAACATTGTATGTTTAATGTATATGTTACTCTGAAAGACTGATGTCGATATTCTCTGATGAATGTTGACACATACAAAATACTTTGGTGAAAGACCGAATATTTGGTTATATTATTATACATTCGAACAATCGCCAGTGTATGTCGACAAGCACAGATAAGCTTTGGTGGAGGTCAAAATGACACCCAAGAAGCCGATGTCAACAGAGAGGCGACAGTCTGTCGCCAAATCCTTTGTGGGTAGCCAGAGATAGGACAAGGTCGTACCTCTTTTCCTGGCAACGGTTTGGTGAAAACCACCCACTTTGTCACTGGATGGCATTTTTGTTCTTTTGATCCTGTGAGGTAGGGATCAGTTTGTCAGGTTGAGGTTGAGTGGTGGAAGATGAGAGGGGTCGTCTGTAAGGTGTTGGTGATATCCGAATAAAAGACACCATTAACAGATCAGTTCATAATCACGTAATCAGTTCGTAATTTGTAANCCCCAATGCCAACCTGTAACATGAACTCATATGGATTATCATTCATACCCAGGAGATAGGTTTTAATCTTCAAATAATGTCATCAATGTACTTCCTATAGAAGATAATGCTAGGTAAGAATGATGGGAGTTTCCTATTCTCTAGGACAGTGGTTTCAACCATTTTTATCTCACTCCAAAATATAATTTTTTTTGTTTTTATATTTTGGAAGTTAATCTAGTATCAAAAATGTTCGATTCAGCACAACACAGTCCAACTGGAACACTTTCGATTAACCAATGTTTCGGTTGATCAGCTTTTGGATAAACGACGCTCTACTATATTCTTATTCCAAGTTGTTATAATCATTTTAATTAAGATAATTATGTTAATATTTTAAAATTATAATTAATCATTTTTTATTTAATTAATTAAATGCAATCAAAATAATTACTGTAATTATTTTTGTTTAAAAATTAAACTTATAGTTTATTACTTAATTAAATATTCTTAATTAAAATTAAATTTTTCTTATTTTAGAGAGCCTATTTAAAATATGCAGAAAGCATATTAACAATTAGCAGATATATTTTGGATCAATTCCAAAACGTAGGTAAGAATACCAATTTTAAATGAAATTTTACAATAGAAGAAATTTGTTAAAAAAATTGTAAAACTTATTAGATTATACAATAATTTATCATTTTGTTTATATAATTATTTCCAAAATATTATGTTAAGTTGAATTAAAGCACTCATTAATCTAATAATTTTTTAAAAATATTGGAAGTTATAATTGGCAATAATATTCAAATATATATCATATTATTTATTAAAAAATGAATATTTATTATACATAATCCAGTTTTTTTATTTACAAATTAATTTTCCGTACAATTAAGGAATTAAAAAATAATTTTTTTGAAAGGTATACATTTCTAATTCAAATTCTTATATGTCTGTATTTCATAAAACTTATGTGTTAGTTCTTTCATTCAGAAAGCCACACTTGGCACAAGAAGTCTCTTTGTTTTAGTTAGGATTATGCATTTTGGGCTTTTCCTCTCTTCAGTCCAATCTGTAAGAAATTCTTGTTTATCATATTCAGTATAATGTCTGATAATATTCAAACTCTTTTCATACTCTTAGAGTTTACAGTATAACTGCAGTATTATTTCTGTAAAAAAATATTTATTATATACTGTATGTCTATTTTAAACTAGCTGTTACCTGTGACTTCACTTGCGGAGGTTTTGCAAGCAAACCCCATTTATATTCAGTATTTCAACAACCATAGTAATTGTTATTTAACACCTACCGTTGAGAATGATGAGAATTGCTCAAAATCAAACGAACTATTTTCAATTTGATCAATTTTTCTGGAATGTTTACAATCATTCTATAATCGAACCAATATGCAATAACAAATTCGAATTTAAAATGGTTCGAACATTTGGTTAAAAAATCAAAATATATAAAAATATTTATAAATATGTCTGAAATGTTATAAATTTAATACACCTAAGTACTTAATGAAGACTAAATGTAGTTGAAAACAAAAAATTGCATCTAAAATAGAACAGTAGAAGCAGTTCTTCTGGTTAAGTCTTAATGCTCTCTCTCTCCCCCCGCAGGGGAATTTCAAAAAATTCCTTCTTAGTGTGCGTTTCCATGACATACCCTAACTGTGTACCAAATTTTACTTGTTTACGTTCAGCAGTTTGCTCTGGGCGATGATGAATCAGTGACTGTCAGTCAGGACAAGTAATTTTATATATTTAGATAACAAATTTTTCATTTTTCCTCAATCTGATAGTTTTAATCAAGACATTTTTTAATAAATAAATAATTTTTTTATTTAGCAATAATATTATAATTGAATTCCTATTGTAGCAAATTTGAATATTAAATAAATATAACTGTTATAAAAATAATGTAATTTTTGATTTAAACTAATTTGATTTAAATAAAAACTACATTGTAAAAAGTTAAAAATTTAGTTATTAAATAAATGAATGAATGATGGAATATGATTTATACTTTAGTTCTGATATATTAGTTTTTAAAGTCATAATATGTAAATTTTGAAGAAGTGGATTGAAGAAATAAGTAAAAGTACACTTTGTCCAATAGAAACTTAATGATATAGATGTTTTAGTCACTATTAAAAGATTAATCTGAAATGATCATATCATTAAGTCAATGTGTTATTTTTATTAAATTTAAGTTTATTAATTTTATTATTAATATTTTTATTAATTATATAATCTATACTAGCTCTGTTACTCGCGGCTTCGCTCGTGCGGATTTTGCAAGCAAACCCTATTTACATTCAATATTTCAACAACCATAGTAATTGTTATTTATCACCTACCGCTGAGAATGATGAGAATTGCTCAAAATCAAACAAACTGTTTTTCATTTGATAAATTTTCTGGAACATTTACAATCGTTCTATAATCGAACCAATAAGCAGAAAGAAATTCAAATTTAAAATGGTTTGAACATTTGGTTAAAAAATCAAAATATATAAAAAATATTTATAAATATGTCTGAAATGTTATCAATTTAATACCCATAAGTACTCAATGAAGACTAAACGTAATTAAAAACAAAAAAATCATCTAAAATAGTACAGTAGAAGCTGTTTTTCGGTTAAGTCTTAATGCTCTCCCTCTCCCCCGCAGGGGAATTTCAAAAAATCCTTCTTAGTGTGCGTTTTCATGACATACCCTAACTGTGTACCAAATTTCACCTCTAGGTTCTGGAACTTTCTAGAAAAAACTGGAACATTCTCATTGAAGCGTCACACATTTTCCAAGTCAACCACTTCAAACCCCATATCTCTCGCACCCTTATAGCTATCGAGACGCAACCACCATAGTGCACGATGGGAGACTTGGGGCTACTACCACACACAAACACCATTCATGTGTGATGTGTAGTTTTGGCTGCAGAGTGAAATATATGCACAAACATGTCCATTTTTATATATATACTAGCTGCAAGGACCCGCTTCGCTGGGTTATTATTTGTTCGTACATTTGTATGTAATATAGTTTTTTTTTATATATATAAAAGACTGTTTTTCTAAGTAATCTAGAATCTAGCTGCAAGGACCCGCTTCGCTGGGNGTTCCGAGAAATGAGAGGAACAAAGGAGATAACAGGATCCTGAGGACAAAAAGACAACAGGCACGCCATTCTTTGCCAGGACTGGGACATGTACAGACGTGGTGTAGAACGCTCCGAGTCGGACTGGAGTTATCGGGAAGAAGTTTAGAGAAAGGATTCTGTCTTAAGGATTGATGAGGCAGTGGAAATAAAATACTAAGCATAAGAAAAGAAGACAAGGACAGGATTTTATTGAAAAAGAAGACAACAGACCATTTATATAGGAATAACATGTGGCATCCCACCCAACAAATAGGCAGAGAGTAATATGCCGAAAGAACTCTGGGTATCTCTACTTCTACTCTATATTCTTTCATATATCCTCTTACATCTATCCTTTTCTGTTATTAGTAATAAGTTAGTATATAAGTTTAGTTTTAAGGTTCAGGATTGATCATATTGTTGTGATCAGGACCCCTCTATGTTTAGTGGATATACCAAACTATTATTTATGCCATAATTTTGTACTGTGACATTGGAATCCCTAATAAGAATATGTATTAAAATGCGAAATAGAAAATATATCATTTCATTGTTATTGTATCTTGTCTACCTTTGTGGTTAACTCTAATTTTGTGCAAACATCACAATATAATTATTTTTAGCTATCAAATTTCACTTCATAGTGATGAATTTAATCGATAAATTATTAGGATGATAATTATATTGTGTATTTCAATCATTAAAGTTCTCTGAAATGACTTCATTATTAGAAAGGAAATAGTTATCAGAAATTTATCAGTTTTTAAGATACAAATTCAAATAAGGTGTTTTATAATAACAATTATAGTTTGAATTGAATGTACAGAAAATGATAGGAGAGAAATAAAACTGAGATATGAATATATATGTATTTAGTAGTTTTGGGAAAAATTGTGATGACAGATTTATATGTGGCAGAAGATTTAAAAAATATATTTTCTGAAGATATTAAGATATTCTTAGAAGATATTAAGATATTCTTTGTCTATAGATATTCTTTGTTTATCTTCAGACTCTGATATCTTTAGATAATATCAGTTATGCTATAAGGCTATAAACAAAGAAAAAGCTGTTTGATGAGTTTGTAACTGCAATTTAAAATTGGTGTATAATCTGCTGATTGCATAACTTGCACCAACTTTCAAATTGTTCTTTAAATACTGATAACCTGCGAGTAATCCATATAAAATTACAGTACTTTTTAAAAATATTTTTATGCCTTATTTTGTTACATCAATTGTATCATGATAAAGATTGATTATATTAGAATAAATGGATAATTTAAGACGTTTTATGTTTAAGTTTATTAATATTTTCTTTTTCTTTTCTTTTTTAGGAATTTTATAAATATTAGTATACAGTTTATTTTAATTTTTTCATGGCATAATACTGACTTTTTTTATTTCATTATTTTTATGTTACAAAACTGAGATGTCAATTTTAAGTTCTTGATGATGTTTTTTAAATATTAAATTTTGTTTCTATAAGATAACAGTTTTTATTTGATACTTAAATTAGAATAATTCAGAAATGATATCATTTAATGCAAGAATTATTTTTATCTTATACAAGTATTAGTATGTGGTATTGTTTGTATTGAAATGAGAAATACATGAGGTATAATTTTCAAAAAACACAAAAAACTTTATTTTGTATTTTGAACAAAAATTTAGCAGGTTCCAACTCCAAGACAAGTCCCTTGTAATTCCCGTTGCTCACGATACAATTATATACAGAACCTCATGGTATAAAACTGGCTCCATCACAAATTTTATGTCCCAGAAATAACAAATGAACAGTTTGTTTTTTACAAATGCAGGTCACATCCTTAAGCTAATCTTAACATACTTATGACTAAAATAATATGATATATGTACAGATAGAGGAAGGAAGAAGAGATCTAGGACAGGAGTACTCAATTGTCTTGAATGTTCCCTTTGCACATTGATTGGATTCAACTTTCTTCTCTCAGTTAATGTTCTCTTTCTCTCTCTCTCTCTCTCTCTCTGAACTTCTCTGTGATTTTGGGATGTTCTCTCTGAAGACACCTCGAAGACACTTACGAAAATTGTCTCTCTGTGTGTTTCTAACTCGAACACCACTTCTTCACAATCTTGTCATCTGCTGAAAATGACCAAGAGTCCCTTCTCAACATGTCTGCTCTCCTCAGTGTCTACCCAAAAAGTGCTTAACTCACCCCTGCTTTTCCTTCAGGACCTTTCCTCTTTCTATTGTTTTTACTGCCCCATCCTATCAGGGAAGTGCTCCATCTGAATTTCTTGGAAAATGAAACAAAAGAAAAGCAAGAATAAAGGAAAGTGAAAGAAAGAAAAGAAAATATGATAAAATTCTATATACTATACAAATGATGTGGGAAACAGCCACAAGTACATTAGTATAATTTTCTGAATTATTTATTAATCCTTTACATTTATATAAAATTTTTATATGTTACTGT